TTTTCAGTGGACAAAAACCTTGTACCAGAATAATTTAAACAATATCGCATTCTTTTTTACATTTTTTAAGGCCTTTTTTTCAAGGTTCTTTTTTCAGGATGTAATTAGTTATCTGCAATAACAGGAAAGAAAATTTGTCATGAAAGCCCGAAAAAATAAATGTCAAATTTCACAAAATGACATCTTACACATGAAATTTTCAGAATTTTACCTGTGTTTTCACATTTCCTCTGAAATTTGACATTTATTTTCTCGGGCTTCCACGAGAAATAGTCTTTGGTGTTATTACAGATAACTAATTATATCCATAGCCCTTAAAAAATGTAAAAGAAATTTCCTGATGGATTCCGTCTTAAAGCTTTATGCTATGCCTGCAAAAATCACCAAACAAAGTATTATGGTTAGTGTTCCCTGATGAAATTTGTTTAATATCTTCTTCTTAACTCTACAGGAGCATTTGTGTGTGGGGAAAGACACTAAGTAATGACTTCAGTACAGAATCTTGACATAGCCTTTTTAAACGTTGTAGACAGAATGCTGTTCTTACCACATCACAAAATATTTCTTCATGAAGTTCTTTCACTCCTGCGTTGCTTTGTGTTGCTTCTTGTTCATCGCCTATAGCTAAGTACTGATGAGTCAGCATACCACAGATCAGACCTGTAATTACAATCAGGTGTATTAGGCTGTGTTTACACAACACCGGATGACTCTTACGCCGGCAGAAGTGACAATCATACCGCATAGGGCTTGTGTTCACATCTAAGAACGGCGATTTCTGTAACGGAGTGAAGTTGCCACGCGCCGATCTCGAAAGTGAAGCGTCCCATATCGGATAGGTTCTGTGCCACACTTCGGTGTAGTATGAACAGGTATTCGGACCGTAGCGGAAGTGAATAAGTAGGAGTAAGGACTGGAACCCACTGAGCCGGAAGTAAATAATCAGGAGTGAGGACTGGGAATTACTGCACCAGACCCTCTCGGCCAACCGCTTGGGGACGATGTTCGACGTGTGTGAACGACTTTTTCCAGTTCTGCGTATTGTTGTTCACACTATACTGGTATAGGAGCTGTCCGGTTTAGAGTGAACATAGACTTAGGCTTCAAATTCCCTCCACCCCAAAAGTAACCTTTTGGGTGGCGAGAAGAGACGAGCAGAAATATGTCGCGCTAGAAAGCTACGGTAATTTGGGAGTAGCGAATAAAAAAGCCTTGGCTAACTGAGACGTCTCTGTAGCAAAACGTCCTGTAGCGAGACGCTTTGTAGCGAAATGGCCGGATATGGTGCCTACAATAGTTAAATCCTTTTTGAGTGTGGTGTATAGTGACTCACCATCTAACAGCTGGTCCGTGTAGTCATTGAAATACAGAGACAAGTTATCACCCGTCAACTGACTCAAAAGGTGTTGAAGAAACAGAGCATCCACAAGGTGATCCTCAGCGTATATCGACACCTGAAACAGAAAAAAGTACTTATTCACACACTCGCTTCACAGTCTAACCTCGTTGAAATGGCGAGAGCGGCGCAAAAAGTGCTAAATCGGAAAAAAGTATAACCGATTTAGGGGTACAATTCTCAGATTTAGCACTGCATATTTCATCTAATTTTAATATTCTGCGATTTAGAAAACTTGTATTAAAGACAACGCTCCGATTACATGATTCTTCAAGCAAGAATAAGAATCGGAAGAGCGTGAAACGAGACCCCAGAATAAAAATAATCGTAGAATCGAAACTGAATTATGGATCACAACTCCTATCATACTATTCTCCAATTTAGTTCTTATTAAACCCTAGCCACCCAAGTTACCTCAGTCACCCAAGTCGCCCTAGTCACCAGAGTTAAACTAGTCACCCTAGGCACCCAAGTCACACAAGTCACCCGAGTCAACTCAGTCACCCTAGGTACCCAAGTCAACCTAGTCACCCAAGTAACCCAAGTCACCCAAGTCACCATTGCCACCCTAGTCACCAAAGAAACCGTAGTCACCATTGTCACCCTAGTCACCCAAGTCACCCTAGCCACCTCAGTCACCCTAGGCATCCAAGTCAACCTAGTCACCCAAGTCACCATTGGCACCCAAGTCACCCTTGTCATCCTACTCACCCAAGCCACCCTTGTCACCCAAGTCATCCTAGTCGCCCGAGTATCCCTAGTCACCCAAGTCACCCTAGTCACCTCAGTCACCCTAGTCAGGATGAATTGGGTGACTAGGGTGACTTGGGTGCTCTCCCTAGGCACCCAAGTCACCGAAGTCACCCAAGTCACCCTAGTCTCCCAAGTCACCTTAGTCACCCAGGTCACCCTAGTCATCCCAGTCACCCTAGTAACACAAGTCACCCTAGTCAACTTAGTCCCCCAAGTAACCCTAGTCACCCAAGTCATCCCAGTCACCCTAGATACCATTCCGTCACTGTTCCACCATAACTGTTTCACCATGACTGTTGCACCATGACTGTTCCACTATTACTGTTCCATTTTTTTCTGTTCCACCATTAC